ATCGCGTTGCATACACGCGCAATAATAATATAATAACGAGAGAGTTGTACAACCGCAGACGTAGTTCGTCTAGTTTGTGATTGACGTCAGACCGTATTTAAAGTGCTTATAGAGTCGACGTAGAGCCAGACGAGAGTCACGCGATACTCGTGGTCGTGGATTTTCCTGACTCACCCGAACCGCGGGGGATCATGGATCCCATTACAGCGTCCATTTCTTCTTCGTCTCGCTTTCTTCTTCTTCTTCTTCGTGCCCGCACGCCGTCTCTCTAACGTTCGTTTATTTCCACGCCATTATTCAGCACCGCTAAGACGGAACTTTTAATGCGGTTTGATGTGTCATAACCGCCGCTTCTCATCGAGATTTCGCGGAAAATTCTCGGGAGAGAGAAAGAGAGAGAGAGAGAGAGAGTCGCGCAAACAAGGGAGAATAATAATTTCTTGATTTAGTTCCGTCAAAAATACTCGCAGCGCATTTTTTTCTTCCACTCCCGCTTCTTCTTTCTTTGTCGATTTAGTTTATTTTTCTTACACGCGGCGCATAATTTCGTCCCGAGAGAAAATACGTAACGAGCGCGTTTGCACGCATCGCGCGCGGTGAAGAGATAAACCGGGGACACGGTGGTTGGTGAACTTCGTCAGTCTGGTTTATAATTGGCGTCAGACCGTATTTATCGTCTTATGTACTCGGTATTACGCGCGAGGCCGCGTGATAATTTTGAATTCGAAACGTCGCGACGCGTCGCGGGCGCCGTCGTCGTATGCAGCGACGCAAGTGCAAGTGCACGCGCCAAACTCATTTGCATAATTTTACGATCTCTGCAGCGGATCTCTCTCTACGTATAAGCACCGAACACTCGCAATCAGAATACGATACGATATCGATCGCGCGTACATATATATATATATTGTATTTTTACATCAAATACAGTTGAATTTCAATATCAGTTGTATGTAAATACCGATATCGAGTTTCGCTCACGCGCAATAAAGATAATAAATACATTTTATATTATTGTTTGACGATAATAATATACCACGCATTATATTAATAATATTAACAAAATTTTACATTAAATTTTGCATCTAATGCGTATTATTACGATTGTATAAATTACGAAGAGGTCCATTTTTGCGATTACGCGGACGAGTAATTTACAAATACAATTTTTGTAATTATGTAGAGTTTAAATATCCACGCGAGACACGATGTTGTTACACGTATATACACCAACCGCGAGTTTGATCACGATCCTTGAACCGCTGGTAAAAATAAGTGCAAACGTGTAGGCACGTGTAGGCGTCTAATAATAGTGCAAGCTAATACACGATACTAATTCAGATCATTCGGTTATAGTTTTGCGAGCTTTCCTTCTTCATTTGTTGATTCCATCACGCGATATTTATTAGCCTGTCGAACATTTTGTTTTGGCACCAACAAATAAGCAATCTTAAACCAAAATGTGCGAAAGTACCGAAGATCGATACGAAGATTTACAATGTAACGTCAATACACACATACACACACACACACACGTTGCAAACGCATTTGTTCGAATTACGGCGGAAAAGTTCTGAATAAACGGTAGAAAAAGGTATATTCACAGATACACCCACACAGAGAAGATGGCTAATAAATATATTTTTCAAAAGACCTCGAAAGAGAGAGAGACAGAAAAAGAGAGAGAGAGAGAAAGAGAGAAGATTTTCGTCGTTTCATCCGTTTCACGGCATCACTGAAACTTTTAGGATAATCCTTCGTCAAAAGCCGTTCCATGAAAGGTCGCTAATTATTCGCGCCGACCATTCAGCCGGGGGATTCATGATTTTATTAAGCGGTACACATCGTTCTGTTCAACTTCTCCGAGAAAATTCACAGGCTATTAACGTCCTGCAAGATTCACTGGAACTCTTATCATTCCTCATCCCCTGCCGCCTCCCGCCTCCCCCTACCTCATCCCCGCCGCGCTGGGAATCCGTAATCGAACTTCCATTTCATCGAACTCTCGGATTACCGGTTGAATAATTAGTTCGAGCCCGAGTGGCGATGAAAACTAAAAATAATGAGAGAATCTCCATAAAATGGGAGTATTGTTCGTCGCGCAGAAAAAAAAAAAAAAATTAATTATTTCCGAGGGAATGATAACACAATAGGTATATTCTACAAAAAAAAAAAAAAAAGAAAAGAACAGAAAAAAACGTGTACGCTTGCGCGCGTAGTGTGTTGTATTATGCGCGCTTGTTTGCAAACAATTGTGTGTCAAGTGTTTCGAAGAGCTTCTCTCGATAGTAAATTATGTCGCTATTATCGAAGATCGATGTCAAGAATACTTAGGAAATCAAAGCCGTTCTGGGGATCTTTCGCGCCCGCGTTACAACTCAAGTATCGCAAGGCATGCTCTTATAGACACGCATCGATCCGGGAGACACACACCGACACACGATTTTGGCAAGCTTCGCTGGTATTTATAGATAGATACGCGAAAATTTATAGTATCTCTCCGAGCGAGACGCATGCAGAAAAGCTCGCGCATATCTTTCACGCGCGCTTTAAAGGCATATTTCTGCTCAAAACTATTCGGTTGTTTATTAACGCGCGTGGTTTTTTTTTTCTATATTTTACAATATCAGTTATCAAATATAATATTGTTATATGTTTTAGTGCATAAGTTTGTTGTACTTTTTCTTTTTTGAGTTTGTAATTTTTATATGTGAGAAATACCACCTTTCGCACTTTAAATGTATATTGTACATTTAAATAGATGACTTCAACAATGGAATGTTCTACTTTTTGTTCGAATGTGTATATTCTGCAAAGTGCCGTTTTTCTTCTTTCGAGCGGATCAAGGTTAAGTGAAAAGATCCGTTACAGGAAAAGAGCGTCGTTACTAAATTGAAAGGAGAGACCGCGGTTAAAGAAATAGACAGTTCTTTCGGTACATTCTGCACACACTTATACATATGCATAAGCATCGCTGCACGTGTTACTGCGGCCTCGTACTATGCAAATCGCAGTTGCACGTGAACGACCGAAACTAAATCGGATTGACGATTTTTATTCGTCAAAGGAATAACGTCGAATATTAAAAAATTTTTGATTGAAATTCACCGATATATTAGAGAATACATTGGATGAATATATTAAATTGACGAATTATAAAGGGAAAACAGAGCTTCCTGTTGTCGTTTGGATGTTTTCAGAATATTTGAACAATTTCTTTAAAACGCATTTCCAGGGCACTTTAACAAATCGATGTTTTTACGTGTTATATAAATAAAATATTTTTTACTTAAAGATCTCTTGAGAGGTGACCTCCGATTCGAAATGATAAATTCAAGAAAGTCGTTAGGGAATCGGCTAATGCTAAATATTTTTTGTTATTCATAATAAGGCTGTTATTTTTTGGAATAAGGCCGCGCGAGTATTGTTTTCTTCGTTGTTGCGATAATTTTAATTTCTTTAATAAACGGAGATAATTTTCGGACTTATTCAAGAAATTAAATATTTTTACACGCTATGTTCCAATTCTTATTGTTTTAAAAATTAATATTAAGATTCAATTAAGAGCTATTTCCTCTATTTTTTCTAGTTCATATAATTTATATAATATATATGTATAATATATATATTAATATATATTGTATTATTTAATTAATACAATATATTTTATTTGAAATCATAAAGTGTCCAATTGTGTGTTAAAAATAATCGCTAACGTAAAAGTTAGCGTTACAACAATATCAGAGGGAGAGAACTAATGCACAACATACTCGAACACAAAACGTCCTGTGTTCGCAAACTTTGTTAGAAAACAAAAAAACAAACAAAACAAAAAATTACAAAAGCAGTCGAGTGGACTAAAACTATCTTCGCACCTCGTTTTAGTCTTACGCGGAACAACCTATCTATATATATTCCAAGAAAACTCTCTATTTCTACAAGTTACTGCCAACAAAGCTTGTGGATTAATAATTGATTAAAAGTGGGAAGACGCTGTGTATAGCGAGTACTACCTATATTGATCTTTAATTTGTGTTCCTTTGTGTGTGTATTTTCATGTGAAAGGAAAAGCTTGATTTTGCAAAATTTACATTTTTACTCTCTCTTCTACACTTTTTCAATTTAAAATATATATGTACATTAAAACTACGAAGAATAATCGATAATCGTATAAACAAAACATGCCTTTTGTTTTGCTTTCTGCTCTTAGCGAAAGGAATCCCGCGTGAAGTGATTTCAAGCGAATTGATTAATTTCATTTGTGTGTTGATATACGTGTGTGTACATATGGCTACTGAGGCGATTAATTAATTCATCAGCGCAGGACTAATTAATGCGCAATCAGGAGAGAGAGAGAATTCGGACTGTAAGCGCAAAGTGTCCGTTTGTTCAAGACTTACGTTCAATTACGACGAATCCAGGCGGAGAACCAGCGCGTGACACATGCATGAAGAGACACGTGGAAATCAATTTTTATCAAGAACAAAATGTTATAAACGCTCTCACATCACGTGGATTAAAAAAAAAAAAAAAAAAAAAAAAATAGTGTCGCTTCAATATCGTGTAATTAATTGCGATTAATAATCTTAACTGCATAGCGTCGCCAATCGTCGCGTTCACGATTTTTTCTAATAAAAACTTCATCTTTTTTTTTTTTTTTTATTGTTTCATTCGCACGTTCGTTACTCTCGTTAATATTCGAGGCAAAAATCGTAAATCGGCAAGGGAATTTTCTTCGACACGTTGTTCTTTTTGTTTCTGTAAAAAAATCTAATCGACGTAAAAGCTTACGTCGAAACAAACTGTGACAAAAACCACCGACGATCGAGGTTTATTTACATATCACCGGAGATTAAACCGAATTGAGAACAAAAAAAAAAAAAAAAAANAAAAAAAAANAAAANNCAAAACAAGAGACGGTGCTATCGAAATTGAACAAACGCTGACAGTATCGAAATGTATCGATTGGAAAATTGTCGATTGGAAAACTCAATACTCACCTCCTTGTAGTAACGGTTCGCCAAGTTCGACGTAAAAGAGAGCATCCTTCTCGTAAGAGTCCTCCTCGATGATTTCCAAGCTGATAATCTTCCTGTGACAACCACGATATTTATTTGAAACAGTTATTACGAGAGGAAGAAAAAAAAACAAAAGTAAATGTAGAAGATCGCTATTTGCGATGGAGAAAAAACTTTTGTTTAACACATTTTCTTAAGTACAACTAATGTGTGTATCGAAAACAAACAGTATTTTAATATTTATGCTCGAACGTGAAAGAGAGAGTCGAGCGTTGCTCGAATCAATCTTTCTTTCCTCTTATTCACGTTATTTGCAAATACTTGGCGTCACAGTATTTCACTTGACAACAAAGAGAGAGCACTTCTTTCCAAGAGCGAAGAGGGTTCTTCTCCTCGAGCACGAGCAACGTAATCGAAATACACGTAAGAGAAAAACGGCGTCAATCAAACCGCGACGATTGATCTAAAATTCTTTTTCTTTCGCGCATATTGTATATACTTCGCTATTGGTTTCTATCTTCAGCGCCGGAAATTAAACTCGTCAAAATTACACACCGGGTATTTGAATTCGCTCGTTGAGCGGGGGAGGTGATCGATTCATTAAAGACGATAAGGTGTCAGACGGTTAAACGCGCGAACCGGTCGTGTGTTTCGAGCCGCACGGCGGCGGGAAACTCGGCGCGTCTCTCATCAAGGAAATCGATTTATTACTTCTACTAATTAAGTGTCGGATAACTGTGCAACTTGTGAGCGCGCGTCGGGAGACATAATTGAGGACTTTTTCTGGAAGAGAGCGTGCTGTTTTCTGGAATATTGCGATGTTGTCTCCCAAAAGGGATAGTCATCGATTTCCATGGAAAGTGGAATGGCAAAAGGTCCTTTTGATATGTAAAGTAGCTGCTCATCTCCTTACTCTGAATGGTCAAAATTCAAAAAACTGCACGATACCGTGGAAGCGAACCTGAATTGTTGTTATTTGTGACGCGCACTGTATTTATTGAGTTTGTTTTTTTATACATGTATACATTGTAAAGTAATCATTTGTAAAGCAATAACACACAAACTTATTTTTTTACAACATCTCGCGTTACAGGATTATCGTCAACTTTCTCTCATTTCGAATAAAAAACTATGTACATCGTTTATCTTCTCAATTGCGTAAGTTAAATATTGTCCACATTTTATGGATTTAAAAGTGTTTTATATATAAACGCGATCTCTCTCTCTCTCTTTATTTTTATACTTATAAATCTCTCTATTGTTTAAAGAATTTTTTTACCAAACAATTACTCGCGAACCACATTCACAGTCTTTTTCATATTTACACGTTCATCTATTATTTTACAAGCTGAACAAACACATTGATTTTGTATGTGTGTGTGTGTGTGTGTGTTTGGTGTGTTCTCACTGAAAAAGTTTACGATAGAAACAAATGGTTCCGCCACTTTCTTTGTTTTCACTTTTGCGTGAAACGTTTTATCACCGATTAAAAAAACATAAAAGCCCTTTTTTATGTTCCTCAGTCGACAAACAGCGCGCAGTATTCTTTGCAAAACAAAAAAAAGGAGAGATCTGTTAGTGGCAACAAATTAATAGAGCTTCCCGAAAGCTTTTTTAAAATCGCTTGTCATGTGCGCTTCAACTCTTCACACAACTTGAATCTCAAAAGCTTAAAAAGTTCAAAAGCTTCCCCCATATTCCACCTCCGGCTAGTTATTCTTTACATCATTGTTACCGAAAGCGAAAGAGAGAAAGAGAAAGAAAGAGAGAGAGAGAATCTCTTCTTCTACAGCAGCTCGCGGGAAAAAAAATGAATTTTTTTTTTTTTTTTTTAGGTACGACAAAGACCTTTCTCCTCGTTTTACATCTCGCCAGAGCGTGTATATCACGTCTGTTCTCGGAAAAGTTTTGACTGACAGTTGCGCTTTCGGCGGGAGAAAACCGAAACGATCGTTTATCATTTTGCCGCAAATACTTCGGAGGAACTATAGATATTCTTTCGTGCCGCACCTCGCCTGGTGCACTTCGCTCACAGGTAAAACACAACACGTGCGAACAGACTTGAAAATGTCAAACATATGTCGTAGGCACACATCGATAGGTCGCGCGCGCATTCTCCCCGCCCGCTTTTTACACGTATACAAAGGGTGGCGCGGTGCGACGAGTGTGAGAAAGAAATGCGCGTTGAAGGAAATTTTTCTCACGTACACGTCGACATTTCAACTTTTTACGTCAACGCGCGGAGCTTCTTCGCAGCTTTTCATTTACGCTGACATTTGCAACCCATTCGTATGCCTTCGTTTTCGTTATATCCTTCAAACCGAGTATTAAGAGGATTGGAGCATTATTCTTTTGCTCGCTTTGGTGGAAAAATTCTCTCGGTTAGGTCTTCTTCTTCCGTCTAGTGACCTCTTAATAGTTGTTACGAAAAGACTCTCTTGGTAACTCATTTTCGAAACAGTTTTTTCTCTCTCTCTCTCTCTCTCTCTCTCTCTCTCTCTTTTTCTCTTTGCGTGTACCGCGTGAATTACGTAAAGTGAGAAAATAAATACATGTTTTCTACCCCGAGACCTTTTCCCCTGTGAATTTTCCTCTTTCACACATGTCACGTTTTCTGTGTTCAGCAATCGATTGAGCATGTATGTGTGTGTGTGTGTGTGTGTGTGAGTGTATTGAGGTTTCATAATATGCAGTTATGTTGGTAATATGAAACTGTACAAGTGCAGCGGAACGAAAGCTCGTTAAGGCGGAGGACTTCATTTAGTGGCGTTATAATTAAACCAGGTAATGCTTGTTATCTCTGACAGTGAAGCACCGTTACACGCGAGACTTAATCCGTGTTCATTCATATTGCGCATGAAACCGTCCCTTCCGCTTTTCAGTTCGCAATCTGTTTCAATCTAAATGTTTCGTTTCTTCAGCGTGACAATTAGAATCCCGCGAAACGCGCGTGCGCGAACTCGAATTGTATTTAATTGTTTATATCCGATTTGCCTTTGGGAATTCTAATTTGAAATACGAACGTGCAAAATTCAAGGTTAGAAAAGTTTTATGTAACTTCTTTTCCCTTGTCGCGTCGGACTCTTAAAAGAGCGCGCCCGCGGGGATATTTTTCTCTCTTTGAAAATCTTTGTCAATGTTTGCCAACAACTTTCCGCGTCTCATCTCAAATCGCGGAATCATCCACCATGGAAAATCGCGTCATTACGCCCGACGTGGACGAAGCGCGCCAATTACTCTTCGGCTCGGAAAAAATAGCGACCGCGATTTATAAATTCGCGAATCAAGAGAGAAAGAGAGAGAGAGAGAGTCGCGCCGAGTTTGCACTTAATTGCGAGTTATCCGGCTACAAGCGACGGCGGGCAAGCGACCTTAATGGGCCGAGATATCGTCTAACGCGATTAACCGACCCTTTGTGCTGATGAAGGTCTTAGGATCTTAAGGCAAATTGCATTACATCACGTGATTCGGTTGTGTCTTCTCGAAATGAGAATTCTTTCGCCTCAACGATTCCCCTGAAGTCTAAAAGAAAAAAAATCCCTCAGTTGAGCCTATCGTCTTTTCGAGTTTGTAAAGTAATTTGAAAATTACATCGGGATCACAGGGTCTCGAAGTTACCGATGAATTGCCATTGGAAAGTTATCGAACAAAATAAATTGTTTCGTATCGTTACCTCGCAGTTCTTTTTTGTTCGCGTTTACAGAAACGATTATTCCGACTCGACGGTGTTTCCTCGACGGATTATTCCTTGCAACAATAATCAGTTCCCATTCCGGTCTCTATACCACCTCGTTGCCCGGTGGTTCGTCTTCAAATGTGCATTAGCGAACTCCCGACGTAATGCTTCCGGGGTGAATCTGATTACGCGCCGAATGAATTTCGGGGTTGCGCGCTCGATGGGGTGTCCTCTCGAAAATTGCAATTGCGATTGCGTTCCGGAAGATCAGGAATTAAAATAATTCGCGACGACAACGAATGCGAAATGCACAAAGGCGGAGCATCGTTTTTTCAAATACATAAAACGTATTTTACTTTAAACGTGTGTATTTTAATGATCCGATCCGTTGTATATAAACAGAACACCCTGTATACATACGTGAAATGTTCGGATAGTTCGGTTTCTTTACTTTTATTCAGGGGAATGACTCATCCCTCATCCTGAGCGTGTATTGTACACATACGAATGCATCTTATAGCGGGAGAGAGCAGACATTTCGGAGAGGCACCACCCAAGCGTACCAAATAAAGCTCGTCACTCGAGCCCGGGTTGTTCTCGCAAATCGAAACACTATACGTCTCCCCGTGGTGAAAGAAAAATAAAAAAAAAAAAGTCCCTCGTTTTTGGAAAGACAAAAATACGAAAAATGATACGAGCAACGACGATTTTAGCAAAAATCGCGATCTCGCGTGTGAGTAATTTCTGGGAGAATTGGTTTTTTTTTTTTTTTTACGACACTTTTTATCTTTGATAATATTGCGTGTTGCGACAAATTAAGATACAGCGGCGAAGCCGCGTCTCGATGAAAAGGTGGTTCTTTTCAGCGCCGTTTAAAAATGTTTCGCCCCCGGCGTCTCTCGGTGACACGGGGGCGAGGAGAACGGCGACGCCTTTCTCCGTCGACGCCGACGCCGACGCCGTGGGGTCGATCCGATTGCCTTACGTGAGCCAAAGTAGTATCATAACAAGCATAACAGCCAGAGCGATCTCGGAACTGATACGCTCGAAGAGCTGCCAACACGCAGCGGTGCCCAAGAGACGGGCAAAACTTTGCAAATTTTTTATTTGTTTCGGACAAGTTTAAACCGATCAGATGCGATATACGTCGCGATACACACGGGAAATAGGATTTATTCATTCAAAGTTTGCTATGTGTTAACGTTCTGCTTCTAAGGTTTCGCCGTAGCAGTCTTTTTTTTTTTTACTATCCTTTTTTTACTCGTTATTATTGGATTTAATAATTTGACTTTAAAATATCGTTGCGTGTTCGAAAATAGTCACTTGATTATAAAAAAAAAACAAAATGTAAAACTTTTCCAAAAAAATTTTCTCAAACCCAGTATAGTTCGGGTTTTA